CCTCCTCCTCCTCCTCCTCCTCCTCCCCTTCCTTCGCTTCCTGCCCTACCTTTACCACGTCTCCATCGTGCTCCTCCCCTTCCAACCCCGCCTCCGCAACTTCTTCTCCTACTTTCGCACCCTCCACCCCCTTTTCTTCCAATCCTTCCCTGTCCCTCCCGGCTTCGACTCCGCGAAGCCCAGCTATGAAGAAGCGTCGATACAAGGGTGAGTTCGCTTTGATGTTACCTTAGGAAAGACTAATATGGGCGGATACGTAGGTCAACCGCTCAGAATGTGCCAAGCGCATTCGCTGCCGTTGGACGGGAGTGGCCATGGCAACAAAAATAGAAGCTTAAATCACTGCGCGGGAATTTATGCTGCCATTGAGCAGACAGATGGAGAAAAAAAAATAGATTATTTGTTAGGGAGGGATGATGTCAAACTTTTGGCGCAAAACAAAACATGCACAAAACAGAATCGTGTTTGACGCGAAAAGTTATAAGCGAAGACATCACACCAGTGTAGAGGACATAGAAGTACTGTGGAATGTAGAAAAAGGTCGAAGCGTGAATTAGGAGGCCTCCCGCACCCTGGGAGCAGCACAATTAAATGTGTCTAACAAAGCTCAATCGATTAAATAGCAACCGGCTGGAAAGAAGAGATAGAAAAAGATCAGAAAAAAAGGATGTCCTAACTGGGAGAGGGGTACAAGTATTCAATACTTAGTGTGCATGCTCAAGAAGGAAGGCGCACGTGGCCTTTCAGCCATAAAAAAATTTGGTCAAGATCTTTCCGTTCCTACACGGGCCTTCGATTGATACGTATGGATACAGCACGCGCTGGTTTGTCTGCGCTGCATTTTCTACGATGTATTCTTTTTCGACCCCCACAAATGGTCTCCTCTTCCACTTACCGCCCATTGCTTTGGAACGAGTCCTCCCCCCCCCGGCGTTCACAATCTCGCGCTATATTACGTTACGTCCCAAGCCTTTCATCTCTCTACCATGTCTTTTGTAGAAGTGGCACGCCCTTTTCCGTTTCTTGCCCAGACACGTCAAGACGCAGGCATCCACATCATTCCCACTCCCTGGGGACGGTAGAGAGCACCAAGCTCCCAACGCTAAGTGCGTACTGGCGAATCCCCTTTGGTCTTTCATTCACATTTTATTGTTTCAAATCATGCCCACGCGACACTCTTTCGTGGTACGTTCGACTCAATCATGCCTACATAAAACCAATCGTTACTCGCAATCCTTTGCCCCGTCTCACTGCGATTCATCCGCTTCTCTTTTACCCCTCCCCCCCCTTTTTTTTAAGCACCCGACGCCCGTTTTCCAACAGGCATGGTCGAACCGCCCCCCTCCTTCCCCACACTCTCGCCTATGCCCCAGAAAGGCATATGTCGGTGGCCGGACCGACGTGCTTGACGTCACTTGGAAAGTAGCACTTGGAGCCCTCGTAGGGGGGAGGGAGCCCACGCGTGGCCCTGAAAAGGGGGCGGGGAATCCAAAGAAAGTGAATAAGGAATCGTGAGATATGGGATTCTGCTCCAGCCCTCCAACGCGAAGTTTCTCCTTGCGCTTACCAGCACCAGTAGCTGCACATGTGCGTGGCCACCATTCCCTTAAAGCCGATCTTGAAGTCCCCAAGCCAGTTCGCCTCTTCCATCCAACCGTCTTCGTTGGGCATCATCCGAGGGGTGATTTTGATCAGCCCCCCATGATATGAGTACATGTAGGTCTCGGTGCTCCCTCCCACGCAATCAGGCACCGGGAAGCAGTCCCAAGGGACCTGCACCACGAAATCACCGATCTCCCACACTGAGGAAAGGGGGGGGGAGAGGAAAGGAGAGAGCGAGGGAGGGAGTGTAACAGTTTGATGCACGGGGGTAAGTCGCTGAGAGTAAGGGGACGAGTTGAGAATACGATGGACTGATTGAGCTCCAGGAATGATTTGCATGGGGGAAGAGAAGGGGGGGGGAAGCGGGAATTCTGGGGCACGAATGTCGGATGCCTGAGAAGGACAAGTAGCTCCCCGAGGCCCGCAAGAAGCTTTAAGCGTGTGAAGGATAGGAGGACGGGCAGGGAGTGAGGTGAGAGACGTACCCATATTGAATCCCACGGCCTTTCCTCGAAATCGAATCCCAGACCCGAGGAAGGCGGGGCTGCGGCCGTTAACGTGCTCGCGAAAAAAGCTGCTGAAGACGTCGTCTCCTACGCGTGGCGTGCCTGAAAGCATAAAGGTTAAAAGAAGGCAAGGGCGGTGTTGTAGGATTTGCAGACGCTTGACGGGGACCTGTGGGAACAACAGCTCAGCCGATGCCCCCTTTGCCTTACCTATCGCGATCACCTCGACCTTGCTGTCTAAACCTGACGCGTACTTCCTGCAAAAAGTTTAAAATGTATTAAATGGACAGAAAAAAAAGTCAAAAATCGACATCGCCCTGTGGGCCTAGCGGATGGCTTTCTTCTCCTTTTCTCCCTCTCCCCTTTTACCATCCCTCCCTCTCCCTCCCTCCCTCTCTCCCTTCCTCCCTCCCGTCCCCGTCCCTACCTAGCCAGGTACGCCCCAGTGATCACAGATACGGCCCCTCCCACTGAGTCCCCCGCGAGGCTAATTCGTCGCGGTTTGATTCGCTCCACCTCAGCGTCCAGCAAGGGCGCAATGGCAATAAGGTACTCAAGGAACCCCTGGTGAACCCGCCCGGGGATGCCTATGGCCGCGGCCGACTCGTTGGCGCAGAAGGGGTAATTGAAATTCGCGGCCCAGTCCTGAACGCGAAGGGGACAGGGTGGGGAAGGAGGGAGGGATAGAGGGCGAGGTGAGTGGGAGAGAACAGGGTCCCGATACACGCCACGAGGAGCACCATCGAGGGAACCTCACACGCAAGAGGGGTTTAAGTGCTTCAACAGACCTCGTCTGTAGTGCTCCCACGCATCAAGACGACCAAATGCCTGTTTTTGGCCATAGTGACGGCGAAGGGCCCGCTTTGAGACTCGATCAATCGCCCGGTCTCCCAACCATCGGCTAGGTGCCAGCCGGGGTAGGCCTCGAACGTCTGAGCCGGGCGGCCTGCCGCCCTGGCTTCCTCGGGACGGAGGATATCGGCCATGTTCCTCCAGGCCTGATAGTGGGGCATGAAGGAAAGTGAAGGGGTTGAGGGGGAAGGAAGGGGAACGATCAAATATGGACGTGTTAATGGATCATCACAAGCTGTTTCACAGGGCGCGATTTGTGAGTTCTCGACACTTCTTAGGGATTGCCATGATTTCTGTTTTAGGTCCTGCACCTTTTGATTACTGTGCTATCCCTCATGGCCCATTGTCCCTTTTCTTCCCCTGTCTCCCTCCCTCCCTTCCTCCCTCCCTCCATCCCGTCCTACCAAGGCGACCATGGCGTAGTACCAATAGATCGTGTGTCTCTCGGCGTCCGCGACCTCCTCGTCGATGATGTCCGGGAGCATGCTTGGGTAGACTGCCAGAGGTTTGGGTAGGTAGGCGTTCATCTCGGGGGACGGGACCAGCGTGTTGGCGAAGAATTGGTTGAGCGAAGGGGGCGTCCCCAGGAAATCTGTCAGCGAGACGGGTGGACATAATATAGCGTGTGCAGTAAAGATATTAGGAGCGGTCGGACTGTGTGTCGCGGGGGCGACGAGGGAGCCTCGAGGACGGCGCTCTTTTTTTTGGTACTTCCTCTGGTAGGCTACAGTACTACAGCGGCATGCATATCCGCCACAGACACGAAACTACAATTAAGATTCGTCTTTGTCCCTTCTTCGTCCACAATATCCCCCTACTCGTCTCCTAACTTCTCCGTGCACTCACATTTCTCCAGTTGCCGGACAACGGGGCACACTGGAACGGTACGCAAGAGGAAGCCGATCACGGCACAGGTTGGATTCAGCCTCTTTATGTCACTGTCGTAGTAACTGTCCCGAAATATTTCGCTCAGGGAATTATTTCCTCTCAACCGCTTTGTCACCCACGCGGAGACGGAGGCTCCCTCCTCCGGCCCCCTCTGCCGTTCTTCCAGCAGTGTTTCCAGGGCTTCTTGCGGTAGGGGGTTTACAACCACCGCCACCGGCTCTTCCAAGTGATCATGCGCGCCAACTTCGCAAAAGGATAAGAAACAAAGAGCTATGGCAAGGCCTAGGGCTCGGAGCGGAACCCTCGCCCTCCGCAATAGCCTTCTTGGGCCGGCGACTGCCTTTTGGCCCATACGGCCCATATAACGCCGAGACACAGGGGCGCAATCCTGTACAGTGTTAAGATTGGCCTTTTCCCCCCCTGGCAATGTGTGAAGAGAGCGGTAGAAACGAGGAAAAATGTTATGCTTATTGAGATTTTTGTTCTTTGGATTCGGGGCTGTCGTAGCATGACGTCATGTATTTTAATCTTCTGCGATAAGAGCCCCAAAGCTGCATCGCTGTCGACGTTGATGGAGGTCACTCTTTAGAGGATAAGGATATAAAAACAGCTTTGATGACAAAAATTATACCAGCGGAGAAAAAAATAGCCGTAATGTTATTCTATGCACCAATAAGAGTTAGGGAACAAAATGTTTCACGATATTCCATCTTTGAAAGAAATTCAGTGGGAGCAGGCGGGTGCGTGACGCAATGGGCATAGGAATCAGTCGCCGAGTCGCAGGCACAGAGCCGCTAAAATAACAACGCCTTGGCAGCCAAAAATCAACTCGCTTCCCCATTCCTGTTTCTCACCGTCGCCTGACCCGCTAGCTCTATATATCTTAGCCGCGGTACATCCTGTGCAAGGGCGTCAAGTCCACGCGGTGACTCGACTTGTGGCTACTGCAGCGTCATGCCTTAGTCTCGTTGTTGTGTCACACATGCAGC